CACATAGTCGACATACGGCTACGTTTACTTCCTCGGGCGGCTTGACGAAAAATTGCCACACCGCCGAGTAGGAAACTTTGCCCCCGCTACTCCTCACTGGCTGACTGCTACTTCCTCCGTGCACACCGGCACCACTACTGGCCGTGGTGGTAGGCTGCAGTGGAGCTGGTGCTCTACTCCGTGGCCGTTTGGCTCCACTGACACTGCTGCGACCCTGCTGCCTCCTGGGCAACCCACCGACTGTTTTGCTCGCTGGCAAGCTGGCACCCTCTTCTCCTGATGATGCGGAAGCAATAGCCTGATGACGACGAGGCTGCCAAGTGCGATCAGCCTCATCATCATCAATTAGGGTCTCCGCGTCACTACTAGCCCCCTCGGCTGCGTGTGGGTCAGGAGACAGACCTGTCTCTAGACCGGCTACCGAGCCACTCTCCTCGCCAGTACTTCTTCGCCTGGCTGCTGAAGAGGCGGATGTCTCCCCCCGTTCCTGACCGCCCTCTGTTAGCTCTTCCTCACTGTACAGTGGGGCTGAGCCCACAGCATGCGATACTTCGCTTGGTGAGGGAACACCAAAGGACAGGGGCAGGTCAAGGACACGTGATTTCAGTGGGCTTGCTCCCGGGCCATGCCAACTAACGGTTGTGTCTGACGTACCCACCGACCGTTGGCTGTAGGTGTCAGAGGTGACCTGGGAAGAGGAAGACGACCGAGTCAACCAATCGATGACGGCAGGGTTGTCGGTGGAGACACGACCGCTGGATGACACCGGGAGCACTGGCCTCTGGCTGCGACTAGTGCTGCCTCGACCCCTTCCTCTGCTGCCACGTCTGCTTGCTCCTGAAACATTGCCTCCTCTGCCACTCCTCTGCGTGTTGTCTCTGACATACTCTTTAATTCAATAAGCACCCCAAAAATAAAACCGGATTTAACTCTTTGAACGTACAATAGTGGTTGTGAAGCAGAAAGTCAGTTTATTGTACACAATCGGTCATTGCAGCTTGCCGTTGGCTGGAAACTGTACGTTTAGGTCACTGGAATGCACTAATCACCCAAAAAATATTACCGCCAGCCGGCGTGTAAATGGATCTAACTCTTTGAACGTACAATAGTGGTTGTGAAGCAGAAAGTCAGTTTATTTAGCACAATCGGTCAATTGCAGCTTGCCGTTGGCTGGAAACTGTACGTTTATGTCACTGGAATGCACTAATCACCCAAAAAATATTACCGCCACCCGGCGTGTAAATGGATCTAACTCTTTGAACGTACAATAGTGGTTGTGAAGCAGAAAGTCAGTTTATTGTAGCACAATCGGTCAATTGCAGCTTGCCGTTGGCTGGAAACTGTACGTTTGTGTCACTGGAATGCACTAATCACCCAAAAAATATTACCGCCAGCCGGCGGCGTGTAAATGGATTTAACTCTTTGAACGTACAATAGTGGTTGTGAAGCAGAAAGTCAGTTTATTTTGCACAATCGGCAAACTGCAGCACCAACTGTGCACGACAGCCACAAAAAAAAAAAGGGTGTATGTCACTTTAAATTTTCGATTCTTTGATAGCTGTGTCCCTGAGTAACGATTCTGTGTCCCTGAGTAACGATTCTGTGTCCCTGAGTAACGATTCTGTGTCCCTGAGTAACGATTCTGTGGCCCTAAAGTCTCTGTGGCCCTAACTCTGTCCCTTAATACACACAGGTCTGTCTCTCTTGAATAACCGGAGGCTAATGGAGAATTCTAAGATGGCCGCGATTTATAGCTCCACCATTACACAGTGCTGGCTGGCTGCTGATTGGCTAATGCGATCACATGTCATGAATGCATTATGGGTCAGCGCGCCTTGTCTGCGCGCCTTCCCAGAGATCCCCGCCCCATCTTCTCTGTCCATTTTCTCCGTCGCCACACATGTCGCCGCCATTTTTGGGAAAATTCGATTCGTGCATCCGAAGTTTGCTAATCTTCGGATTCGTCGCGAATAGAATTTTTCCAAATCTTCGGAACGAATTCCACTTCGTCATGTTCGATTCGCTCATCTCTAGTGGAAATGAAAGAAAATGGTCCATGACAAGGCTCCAAGCCTCAAAGCTGATCTGGCACCTGCAGTAAGAGAAATTGGAGCCGGATTGATGAAGAATATCGTTTGTCGATAGTTAAATCCATGCCTCAGAGAATTCAAGCTGTCATAAAAGCCAGAGGTGGTGCAACAAAGTACTGGTGGTGTACTGTAGTGTTTTGGGTTTTTATTAATGATTCTATAATATTTTCCTCAGAATTGAGTGATTCCATATTTTTTTCCTCTGCTAGATCTGCATTTTTTTTTAAGTGTTTCTGAAAGCCAGAAGGTCGGAAAGGTAAATGAAAATAGTTTTGTCTGTGATTAATTTTTTTTATCGACACAATTCACTAAACATTTTCCAAGAGTGGTGATTCCATACTTTTTGCCAGGGGTTGTACTCTAAACCATCTTGTGGGATCTTCTAGTACCATGCAGGCCTCAACTGAATGCAAAGTGGGGGGGTTTATTTTTTTTTTCTTTTAAAATAAAGATTGCACATAAATATGTTATATTTGCATTTTAACCAGGAGGTGGTTTAGAACAATTGTTCAGGCTATTGTATGTTTTTTGAAAAAAAAAAAATACTTGGACTGCTTGGACTTTGAAGAAGGGGACATACCCTGAAAGCTTGTCCTGAAAATTGTATGTTAGTGCGAATAGAAAAAGTATCACAGACAGTATTCAATTGTTTCTGAAAAAAAAAAAAAAGATTGTTTGCAGAGCTCAAAAGCTCAAGCTGAAAGTTAGGGATCTTGCATACAGCCGTTACTTAGGTCGTATGGCCATACAGAGTAAATTACACCAGTATTTGTGGTGCCACAGCTGCTGCATAGTTTTCCTCATTGACTTCCATTACAATATACGCTGTGCTTGTGTATGTAAATGCAAGCGCCGATATATAAGTACATATATCCACATAGCATATTGTGTAATGCAGGTCTATGTTCAAACTCTTGTGGCAGTTATGGCTCCCAAGTGCCAAGAATAGAGGCATATTTTACTCTGCATGGCCATGCAATCTAATATTTGGCCTTGTGTCAGAGGACTTAAACATGCAGCTGAATGTGTCAGAGCAGTGATTCATTTCCTTCTTCTCTCTTCAGAGGGTTCCAAAGTTTAAATTTCATAGTCTGAAAGGAAACAGCCTCTGCATGTTCTTTTAGGAAGAGCACCATTTTCTGTATATTGTGCGCTATGGGTACACCCTGTTTTAAATGTTCATTTAACAAACCAGGTTTAACATATGCGGTAAAAATTATATAAAACATTTTTAATTAATTCTTGTTCAAGAAAATAATTAAGAGAAAAGTCATGTATTTTATAATAATTTGCAATAGTAATTTTGCTGTATAATTAATACATCTATATTGGAAAAAATATAAATATTTTCTATAAAATATTACATTCATTAAAAGGAAGTCTGCTTTATGCTTCTGAACAGAACAGTGTTCAGCATTTAAAGAACTTTGTTGCCACTGTTTTAACTGGCCAAATAACCTAACCCTGAATAAACCCACAGTCCTCTATGGAATGACCTAAATGTTTCATTGTATAAATATATCACCGGTGGAATGACCCAAATGTGTTGTATGAATACAGTCCCCTATAGAGTGACCCAAACATGGCATGTACACTTTCCTTTTTGAATTACTTAGACATTTCAAAGTATAAATACAGTTGCCTGAGAAATGACCCAGTAAAGGCATTCTCTACCTACAGTCCCCTTATAGAATGGCCCGTATGAGTCACTGTATACATACAGTCTCCTATGGTATGATCCACATTGAATACATACATTTCCCTATAGTCTATCCAAAAATTGTGTCATGGGTGTACAGTGCTTTCATGGCACCAGATATACTGTAATTCAAACATTAAAAATTATATAAAAAGAGAGTTGATTACATCTGCATTACAGGACATAAAACCAGATCTCAAAATATATACTATAGGCTTAGACCATAAGGGAAAAGAGCCCTATATGCAGCTCTCATAGGTTATGGTCTTGCTATAAAGGCCTCCCGATGCTTTTCAAGTATCACTCTCTTAGGAGCATAAATATATCTGGCTTTACAAGAATAAATAATAACATTAATAATCATAATAAAACTGAACAATAAAAGTATTTACAAAATACAACATGGTACTCTGAATACGCACAAGCTCATACCAAGCTTAGCAGTTACAAATCTGCAGATGAAAGTTAAAAACAATAAGCCTGGTGTTGTGGTGGAGCGATCCCGTGGTGAAAGGGTCCCAGGAGGGGAAACGGAACAGCTGTAAATGCAATGATCCAGATGGCAGCTGAAAGATATGTAAAAAATATGTATACACATGCTGACCATAGGGAGGACCCATAAAAACAAATATTAAAAATAATTTAAAAAAGCAAACAAATTGACATTACCCACAAACCAAACTGGATTTATCCAGGAGCAACACTCCAACACCAGGGAAGATGCAGACAACTATGCCTCTAGGTATCTCCCTTTTATATGGCACAAAGTAGAAAATTGCTGAAGGTGGAACTAACAATACCATAAAGAACACAGGAAATGGACCGAATGTCAGCTAAAGTTAAAATGTATGTGTCCGCCTGATTTACTGCCTTCTATTGAACCACCCACCACACATGGGCAGGATGTTCATCATCGCCAAACCAGAAATGATGTCACCACATATGTGTAGTGGAAGCACATGGAGGCCATATTGGAATGTCCATTGGAAGTGTCCAAAGCAGCCATTGATCAGCCAGCACAGAGGGGAGGGCATAACGGGGCCAGATGGTCATCTGCACACCAAACAATGCATCCACAAGAACGTTTAACCGCTTCCCGACTGCCCTATAGCAGAAATACTGCTGCAGGGTAGCACGGGTGAGCAAAATCACGTATATATACACGTGATTTTGCATTTCCTGGTAGGGGGTGCGAGTGAGTCGTGCGCGCGCCCTACCTGCGCCACCATTCACGGCCGCGGCTGTCAATCACTGGGTCCTGGCCGGTAATTACTCGCCAGCGCCCCGTGATTTACAATGATTACCGATGGGGAGGAGGACTGTTTTGTTTACTAACAATCCTCCTCCCTTTCAGCTTGGGCACACTGCTCTGGATGGCTGTGCACAACACAGCCATCCAGAGCAGTGTGCTTACAGTGAAGCACCAACACACATCCCCCTAGTAAAACACTCCCTGCACATAGTTAACCCTTTGCCTCTCATGTGAACCCTTTCCTGCCCAGTGCCATTAGTACAGTGTCAGTGCTTTTTATTTTTAGCACTGATCACTGTATTGGTGTCACTGGGGATGTCAGTGACACCAAGTCATATCCCCCAGTGTCAGAATGTCTACCGCAGTCCTGATCACCGCCATTACTAGTAGAAAAAAAAATTCCAGTATCTATACTGCCATTTGTAAACACTAGAACTTTCACGCAAACCAATTAATTTACACGTATTGGTATTTTCTTTTTAGCAAAGACATGTAGCAGAATACATAAAATTTATGATGAAATTGGATTTTTAAAAAAAAAAAATTTACTGGACGTTTTAATAGCAAAAAGTAAAGAAAATAGTTTTTTTCTAAAAATTGTCGGTATTTTTTTTTTATATCAGAAAAAATAAAAAAAACACACAGGCGATCAAAATACCACTGAAAAAAATCTCAATTCATGGGAAAAAAAGGACGTAAATTTCATTTGGGTGCAGCGTTGTATGACCGCGCAATTGCCATTGAAAGTAACGCAGCACCGTAACGCTAAAAAATGGCCTGGTCAAGAAGGGGGGTAAATCCTCAGGAGGGCAAGTGGTTAACTTTCATCTGTAGGCTTGTAACTGCTAACCTCTCTATGATCTTGTGAGTATTTAAAGTACCATGTTGTATTTTGTAAAAATGCTTTATTGTTCAGTCCTATTATTATGTTTTATTATTATGTTTTAGTATTGTTATTTATTATTGTAAATTCAGGTATATTTATGCCCCTGAGGAAGAGTGATACTCAAAAACACGTTGGGAAGCCTTTACATCAAGACTGTTACTCTTGAACCTTTGAGAGCTGCATATATGGGACTCTGGTCTAAGCCTACAGTAACTGTTTTGAGATATAGTTTTATGTTCTGTAAAGTTGTAATAAACTGTGTTTAATAATGTTTGGTGTTTGAATTATATCTAGTGCTGTGAAAGTTCGATATACCCATGACACAATTTATTGGATGGACTATTTCTGGGATGTTGGCACCCAAGTAGCCTCCAATTACACTAGTTATCATTTGACATTTGCTTTATAGAATGACCCAGGTGTCTCCTTATACAGTATATATACACAGTCCCCCATAGAATGATTCAGACATGTCATTGTATACATACATGCTCCTGTGGAAGAAATCATACATGTCATTGAATAAACGCAGTTGACTGGGAAATGACCCAGACGTGTCAATGTACTGTATACATACAAGCCTCCTTGGAATGACCCAGACAAGTCATTGTATAAATACAGTGGCCTAGGCAGTGAACCAGGTATGTCATTGTCATTGATGCCAACTGTCCAAGATTTTCTGGGCCCAGGACAGTCCCTCATTTTGGGTCTCTGTCCTGATGATGCTGTGTCTTGGAATCACAGCATCTACCTTATTTGAGTTACTGAGAATGTGCAGTGACTCAAAAAAGGGTATTAACAAAGAGGATCATGGTCTCAACTGGGCAGTTCCCACATATTTAGGGGAAGGTGGGAGCGTCAAGTGGGGGTTCTGGGCAGGGGTGACTGTGTCCCATGGCCTGTCACTAGTTATACAGTCCCTTTTAGAATGACCTGTCATTGTGTATATATACAGTTCCCAATAAAATGATCCAGTAATGTAATTGTATACATATAGTTCCTGATGAAATGACCCAGACATGTATTTGTAAACATAGTCCACTAGAATAATCCAAATGTGTCATTGTACAAATACAGTTCTTAATGAAATGACCCAGGTGTATCATTTTATATACATTCAGTTATCCATGGAATCACTTACGCATATTGTATACATATAGTCCCCTACTAAATGACCCAGGTGTGGTAATTTATACATACAGACCCAGATGTGTCATTATACATTGTATACATACTTTCCCTTATGGAATGGCCTAGATGTGATAGTGTATACATATAGTCCTCTATGGAATGACCCAGATAAGTCAAATAAAGTTCCCCATGGCAATATCCAAGTTTGTCATTGAATACATATATTTCCCTATGAAATTACCCATATGGGTCATTGTATACATACAGTCCCCTATGAAATGACCCAGGCATATTGTATACTCAGACTTCCCTATGGAATGACTCACATGTTTCATTGTATGCATACCATAGACTTCCCTATGGAATTACCCAAATGTGCCATTGTATATAGTCTTCCCTATGGAATGACCCAAATATAGTCCCTTATCTAATTTCCCAGGCATGGCTTTGTATGCATACAGTACACTATGGAATGACCAAATATTTTAGCAAAATTGTGTTACAAATTAGGATAGTAACATATTACAGAAGAAATCTATCAATAGGCCAACATTGTCAGATATAATGTAATGATAATAAACGTAAGGTTATTTATCTAAAACGTGGTATTATTACTGTCACCAAGCATTTAGTATAATTCAAAATAGGAAAACAGAACTAGAGAAGGATTTAGGAGTACTGATTAACTGCAGCCACTCAGCATAACTCCATGCCAAGCAGCAAATGCCAAAGCAAATAAAATCCCAGGATGCATAAAAAGCATATAAAGTATAGTATTTCTGGACTAGCTCTTGTAAACTCATGTTGTGAATGTGTGGAACCACACTGTGAGATGGACACTGGAAATTTGGAGAGACTTATAAATTAGTGAATTAACAAAAGAGATGCAAAGTCTCATTCACAATGGAATGCTAAAATTGTGGAGCTTATTAAGTTTGTAAAAAGCTATCCAGTTGAAAACAAATAAACAAAACTAAACTAAATTAATTTAGTTACAAATGTAACAAAACTAAATTAGTAACTTAATGAATCAATCTGAAACAAAACAAATGTTTTTGTTCTGCACATGTCTAGTGATAGTCGCTGTCCTGTGTATTTCTAGACCGTGATTAAATAATAACTAACCTGTATGGATGGAAACATTACCAACACAGGCCCTACAAAGCTTTACAGAAGCACAGTCTTTAATATACTATACCTCATCTATACACAAACGTTAACATCTCTGGCCCTCAGGACTTCGATGGCTTCATGGCCGCTCTCCCCATTCTGGCCTTGCTAGCAGAACACAGAGAGCTTATGGAACAGCCTATTACAGTTACTGAGATGTTGTTGGCCATCAAACAGGCCTAGGTGGGTAAAGCTCCTGGCCCAGACGGCTTTAGTGCATTACACTATGAAAAATTCTCATCACTATTGGCAACTCCTTTGACAAATTACTTCGACACCATTCAGAAGGGGGAGCTCTGTGAACAGAGCATTCATTACACTCATCCCGAAACTCCATAAAGACCTCAACGGTGTAGCTAATTATAGACCTATTTCTTTAATCAACAATGATTTAAAACGGTTCACCAAAATCTACAGCAATCGATTGTTGACCTTTTTAGACAGGTGGGTTTCCTACCCCACAGACAGGCGGTAGGCCAAGTGTGTCGAGCAGTTGATCTTATCTCTCTTTTACACTCTTTGTGGGATAGGGAGGGTGATAGACATAGGATGTTATTATCCCTGGATATATGCAAGGCATATTATTCCCTCTCATGGTCCTACTTCTTTCGGCTACTGGAAAGATGGAATTTTGGTCCCAAATTCTTGGCATCTATCACACTCACTATATAGCAATCCTATGGCGCAGATTTCTTTGCAAGGCCATAAATTGGCACCATTTGATATCTCCTCAGACACTAGACAGGGATGCCCGCTGTCGCCCTTACTGTTCATCATAGCAATAGAGAGACCCTTGCTATTGCGATGCGTCAGGACCCAAATATACTAGGGATCATGAGTGGGGACCGACATCATAAATGTGCACTTTTCGCAGACTATTTGCTCATATTTGTCACCTCCCCTCATACTACTCTCCCTAACTTACTCTCCCTATTGGACCATTTTGGTCAGATTTCGAATCTCTCGATTAGTCAGAACAAATCTTGAAGCCATGAATGTCAATTTATCAGAAACAATGTACACAAGCCTTCAAGCTCAGTACCCATTTATGTGGCAAACTGCTTCCCTTTCCTATTTTAGAGTTAAGTTAACTCCTCACAGCTAGTCTCTCTATAAGGCGAACTACCCGGCCCTCTTTCATAAATTGCCAGAGGACGTGAGGATCTGGTCATAAGCAACCTTGTCCTGGATGGGCAGAATCGCTTCTGTGAAAATGACAGTTTTGCCAAGGATACTTTATTGTTTAAGGACCCTACCTATTTCAGTACCAGTGGAGGCCTTAAGCCAGTTTCAATCAAAATTTTCCATTTTATTTGGGGAATAAAGGATAGCAGGTTAGCTCGAAACACTACAGTATGTATGCTTCTAGAGATATGGGAGGGCTAGGGCTACCTGACTTTCAGAATACAATATTGCAGCTCAACTCACTCAGCTTAGCCAACTTCACCATACACTCTATAAACTGGATTGGGTACCTTTAGAAGCCCAGGCCTGTTCCCCCATGCCAATAGATATGGTCCTATGGCTCCCTTCAAAACACCAAAGGGCCACTATGTGTCCTATGCTTTCACATTCCATAGCTCTATGGGAGTCGACATGCCGACATTGGTCTCTCAGTTCCCCCCACACACCTATGGCTCCTCTCTTCAACAACCCATTATTATTTCCGCCAGGTATGACCCCGGCTCAGTCCCGCTGGTGGACAAATAAGGGCCTCTATCGTATAGGACAATTTATAGATCATAAGGGGATACATCCTTCTTCATACTACTTACAGAAAATGCAGCTGCTGCCTTTGGAAAGTTTTCACTTAAGACAAATTCACCAGTTTCTTAGTACTCTACAACAGAAGAGTCCTGATCTTTCAGTTCGTACACAATTCGAAAGCAAATTTTTACAAGTGACTCTCACGAGGGGAAGTATTTCCATTCTATATAAATCCTATGTCTCCCCATCATCGAAGCTTCCCTAGCAAATTGCGTGGGAGCAGGATTTGGACATATCTCCTGAAGTGACGGTATTTCGAACATGGTCTATACGAGTACATAGGGGCATAATGTACGTGGTCCTAATTAAAGCAGCATACAAGGTGCTCCCCAGATGGTACTTGGTACCCGAGCATCTTTCTAAAATGTATTCGGGGTCGTCTCCCTCATGCTTTAGGGGATGTGGCCAAATAGGCTTA